AGAGTCTCCAGACTGATTTGCGAGTGAAACCTTGAAAGCTCGCGAGATCAGGATGGTCTCACGAGGCTAGAACACCGGTCCCAGTCTCAGTGATCGCGATGAAATTGACTGTATTAGTTTTAGGTAAAGATAATTATCCATTGATTATTTCTTGCTGACCGGACTTTTGCTTTAAAGAAGAATGCTTAGATCCTTTTAATTACTTTAACCTGCAGCTCATTTCTTCTCTGTTTCATGAGTTACAGTCTTAAAAAACAAATGCTAATTGGCGGGTGGGACCAAGAAGGAAACGATCGGTAACGGTCAGATTGGTACATTTCAACTGGAGACGGACGCTCTGCGCCAAGCGCAGACGCTTCATTGGCTATAATGGGCCGTTAGGACATTTCCTCCCTCAGCTGTTTCTGTCTTTGATAGCTTTCTACCATTTTTAATCTGCAGCCAGAGACAATCTGTTTCAGACAGCGATGGTGTACGTGCGCACCTTGTCTCAGATAGTAGATGACCAGGTTGAGTCTAGCCTCAGGAATCACATCGATCAAAGGAGGCAGCACCTGCAGCGCCCCCTCCCCACCGCGGAACACCACCTGCAGCACAGCAGAGAGGGGAGCTATGGGCCCCGCTGCCAGCATCCGTACAGTCCTCCGCGCTCACAGCCAGAGACAATGGGAAGCTTACCAGGTTGTGTTGGATAACCTCCTTCGCAAACTCAGAGGAGCAGGAGGAGATGTCGATAAGGTTCTTCAGCTCAGCCTGAGAGATTAAAAAAGTAACACAAAATAAAACAGAAGATCTAAACCTTTTAAAGGAACAGTAACAGATTTATCTGTAATTAGGAACGAGAACTTTATCTGGCATGTGTGGAACCATTTTTTTTACTTGGTTACATGTGTGAGTTGAGTGTGAGACGAGTGTGAGATGAGTGCCTGCCTGAATAGGAGTGAGTTCAGAGAAATCTTGTAGCAGCCTCTATGCTGTAATGTTTAAGGTACGGGGGACAGAAAGCAGATGCCTCCCTACTCTAGACAAGGGTGAAGGGAAGGTAGTAGT